TTTATGGAGGGGGAGAGGGTAGGATAGGCCGCAAAGGAAAACTTTTTCAATACGAGTGCAAGTAACGAACTCCCAAAAGATTCGCTTAGTTGTGTGCTAGAGTGCCTTGCCCTAAGTGCCTGTTTGTGGGCTACCTTCAGCGACGTAAGATGGACTAAGGTTCTGATTCGCGCTCCCATTGGACTTGCCACATCCGCAGCACTTACCATGCATGGCCGATGTAGTCACAATAAGGCTACAAGGACAAATGAATTTTCAGGTCTGTGTGTTTGCGTTAGACATTTATCTTAAGCGAGCCCTTGGTGCGGCATTTAGCTTGTCCCGTAATAAAATATTTTTAAACCGTAGAAATTGAAATATTTTCAGAGTTTTGTTGAAGAACGACTTTGCAGACTTCTAAATCTAGTCTAAAATGCGTATGACCCCGGAGACACTGAATTTTCTTATTATTTCAATACAATGCAATGTAGAATAATCTATTTATGTTCCATATTTGGACCGTGCAGTTACTAATAGTTTGCTGGCAGTTATTGACTTTTGGTTGCAAAGTAGCATATTTAGAAGCTATAATTGCGAAAATATTGCTAGGATTTTACTTTTGTAGAATATGTTTGCCCAATCAAATTTATCATGTAATTATCCGCAAGGATACAATTTTTTTCACATCAAGGTTAGAAAATTGCAGACAATTTTGCTTTGGTCACAAGTAACTCCACTGTAAAACCAAGACGGTGTTTCATGTACATTTAAGAAAGGCTTTTCCCTGCTGGATTTATTGTTGCAGTTTGCTAGTCGACTTATTAGGAACAGTTTAGTATGCAAGGTACACACTAGCATTGTCGACCTGCAACGAAATGTCGAAGCAGGTTGATCGGAGGTGGTGTGAACCTTGGCAGGTTTACTGTTTCTATATTACCAGTTGACTTAGCTATAATGTTACTCAACCGGACTAGCGCACAGTTGAGTGGTCCGACGGGGGATGCTCTTTCTTTGTGTAACGGGTACACGGTTCAGCTTGCAGTGTGTGTTTGTATTATTGCATTTCAGGCAATGTCTTCTGTTTCGACAACTGCTGATTGCAAAGCATATTAGGCATGTTTTATTTTGTAAAGCATGCCACCTTAAATGGAATTTCGATATTGGTGGACCCTTTTTTTGCGGGTGGCTGTGTTGTAACTGCTGCTTGCATAGCACCCGCCAAAGTTCAGTTCACTTTCTCAAAAATACATCCCTTTCCTTACCCTAATTCTCTAGGAATTACCGCGAATAGTTTGTAGATTGAAACTCGGTCCCGTGTTATGTTGACTCTTTGTCCTTGCCTGCTCCCTCACTCCCCATTTCATACTTTCCGTAGGTTTATTTTGACTAGGTGGGTTCCGAAAGTTTGACAAACTAAATTTTACTTCTGATCCGGAGATCTAAGTGAGGGCCGAAAGGACTTATGTGTTTGTGTGCTTGAATTTTCTCGACCCCTCCTTTTTCCTTCTAAGTTACTTCCAAGTGTGTGCTTGGATGGTTCTATCTAGAAGCTATTGCAATTCTGTTCGCCTTGCATTCATGCGGCCTTCCATCTTCCTCTACTTTTTCAGTGCCTTTTGCATTTGAGTAGTTAGTGTTTGCCAATTAAATCACGACAAAATCTCAAACAAGCTTGTCTGGTCGTATTTCGGTTCTATTTCGGGAATCACAATTGGCAAGTTCATACTTTTCCGTCATTGAAGCAGTTCTTCTGAATAAAGCTTCTAAATCAAGGCCAGTTCCTTGAAGCTGCATCCAGAAGTACTCAGCTTAATGCCCGGAACTTGTGTGAATGTAGTTCGTGCAGAAAGGGGTCTGTCTCCTTATGCGTTCTATTCTTGCTTTCCATTACATATTAAGGCTTGCATGTTAAGCAGAAAGGTGCCAACAACCGTATCTGCTAATGCTGTCAGGCATTATTATCCTATGTTCGCTGTCATAAGTTACTTAAAGTCATTTTTGAACAGTTAAAAGACTCAAAGGTGTCAACCGGCGTCTTAAATAGTTTATTTGAAAATCATACGTATGTAAAGACATCATCTGCTTAACCTTAAATTTTTCGGTGTCTTTATGAGAAGTCGATTCTTGTGTTTCGATCAAGAAACTAGAAAAAATCCTATTCCATAACTCCCTGCTTATGACCGTAGTAAATCGCCTTGCCCCTTGAGTAACTTTCTTTGTTGTTTGCAGCCTGCAGAAGCAGGTGAGCGTGATGAGCTCTAACCTGAGCGCAAAGCTGGACGAGCTCCAGCGCGGCGATCGGCACCTCGAGACTACCGTAGCCCTCCACGAGATTCGCACCCAGCTCCAGGAACTCACGCGCTCCGTGGAGAGCTGCCAGAGCGAAGTAAGCGCTTGGCCCCACCCCTCCTGCTCTTCTGTAGCTCGAGCTTGTCTAACTCTGTGGCCCATGCGCTCAGGTATGCGAGGTGAAGCGGGACATGGTGGCGATCCGCTCTGAGCTTGACACGGTACAGCAAGTGAAGGAGGAGATCGAAGAGCTTCGGGAATACGTCGACCGCCTGGAGGAGCACACCCATCGACGGAAGCTTCGCTTATTGCAGCAGGTACTGTGATGGCGGGGCTGCGGCCGACCGTTCGACCGAACTGAACCGCTTTCGATGTGTTTGAATAGGCAGATATGGGTGCTGCAACTATTTATTCAATTCCGTTTGTTATGTGGTTTGATAGTTAGCCAAGTGCATGCTACCTATGGATGTTCAGTTTTTCCTAGAGATTATTTTCGGTCTGTAGGAGCCTGGCCTGCCAAGGGCATTATATCTTGCCGGGTTGCGCCCGAAAGCATGTGCCCCTTCAACTTAATTCCGCTGTGCTGCGCCAACGGGATTAGTTTTGAGTAGATTTTCCAGTGGTGCAATATCGCTTTATAAAGTAAACGAGAATGCCAACACCGCCCCCTCGGACGTAGCCGAGCGGGCGGCGGAGAAACAAAGGAAGACTTTCATTACTTCCAAACTCAGCCGCGGCAGCAGGAAATAGAGGCAACTGCATTATTGTTGGTCAAGGTTTTGTTTGATTTTCTTTTTATGACTTTTGTTTTGCCTTTGACAGAATTCTCTTCTGAGAGATGACGCTGAGTCTCAGCCCAGCGCTGAGCTCAGCGGGGCAGGCTTGAAACCAACCGCGCAAGTGCGGCAAGTGAGTCAGGTGGTCTTAAACGTGCATAGCCTTCCATCCCCTTCATTGCCTCTCATTTCATTCTTAGCTACATATGGCGAGTGTCACCGCATGTGTGGGTAGAAATGACACGGTGACGCGTTGAGTCGTACCGATGGGGAGCAGGCAGTCGTTGTCTCCTCTCTTTTGTGCCAGCTATCTTAGTTCCTAACTTGAAAAGCGTCGAACTAGAAATCACGGTGATAAGGTTTATTAATCTGGGGCGGACCTCTTTTGTGAATGTTCTCTGATAAAGTGTTCAACTGGCGTGCACATGCAGGTGCACTTGCAAGTGCTCGCTCAACACTATGTCCCACGCTTTTCAGTGCTTTGCCAGCATATTTGACTTCTTCAAAGTGTTCAACAGTAAATTTGAACACTTTAATGTGTCCTAAGCTTAATAGCTAACCCCGATGTTGAACACTCAGAAGTTCAACTTTACTGTTAAAAAATTTGCAGTATTCATACTGTTAAAAAGTTTGTAGTATTCAAATATGTATACAGTCAAACACCTGAAAGTGTGCAACATAGTGTTGAGCACTTGCATGTGCAGGCCAGTTGAACACTTTATTTATCAGTGTTGACCGTAAAGGAAACCCCCTCCCACCCTTTCCTTGCGTTTGGGGCATATTCACCAGCGGAGCGGAAACCTTTTATTTATGGAACGGAGTTTGCTCGGGGAATTCGGTATTGTTTTGTGCGAACTCCACTGCCGCTCCGCCCCTGCCTTGTTTGCAGAGAGGAACTGCAAAGGGAGATCATGCAGCGCACAAAGGACCGTCAGAGAGAAAAAAGGAATCAAACAACTTCCCATCCCCTGCCAGAAAGAGTTGTAGAAGCTAGCTACAAGCTTGTTCGTCGTCGTTACGGCTCGACATGGGGCAAAAGCACCGCGTGAAATGCTATACGGATCATTGTCAAAATATTTCATTGCTATTCATTCACGGCATCGTTTAAAGCCACATCATTCGAAGACATTTCTTGTAGATTCATGTTTTATGTACCCTGACCACTATTTCATTTGGGTTTCTGTTGTGCAGGCCCTCACATCATGACGACAATTCGTGCCCAGAGAATTTCTCATGGTTTTTCGCTCGAGCTGCCTTTTTTTTTCTTATGCTTGCCAGTTTACTTTCTGAATCCATGCTAGTTTTATTTTTCGTAGACTTCGTTTGTGGAATGTGATAATAATCTTGTTTTTATTTTGTAGTTATTTTACTTACCTTATTTTGCTGAATAAAGATTTCTCCTTCATTGTTGCATTTTTCAAATTATAACCAACCAATCATTTGCTTCCCGCACTCATTTAAGTATAGTTTTGTAGTTACACATATTTCCTACATTCAAGTATTATTCGTTTATGAATACATGCTAACATCTCTATATTTATAGAAACTGCGGGAAAGGTATATGTGAGTGAGGTTTCGGTACGCATTAAGCCAAATGATAATTGGACTAATTACCTTTCCTCGTTTCTAGGGACTCACGTTCTTCCTCTGCTATGCAATCGGTGCGGCGGTTCTCGGAATGCTACAGTTTGGTTACAATACTGGCGTAATCAATGCTCCTGAACAGGTAAAAAACAAACATCTATTCGAAATTGTATAAAGTTCGTTGAAATTTAATAATCTGTGACTGTGCAATAAGTTTCACACATCAAATTTTGATTGTCATGATTCTTTGCATGTTTAGACTCTTATCACCATAATGATTGTTATTAAATTATGGGGACAAAATCATCGCGAAAGTAATGCAATAAACTTTTTATGACAAATTAGTGATAAAAAGTTATCAAATTATATCCTACTTTGATCTCATTCTCTTTGGTGATAAAAAGTTATTAACGTTTGCCAAAAATCAGGGGACTCTACAAATGCACTAGGAAATCCTACTCTGAAAATTCAACCCATTGTGTGCTCATATATCAGCAATTAGTAATGATTGCTGATATATCATCAGTAATCATTCAGTGTACACTGATCTATCAGCAATCATCAATGATTCCTGATTTATCGGCATAGATTGTACACTGTTGAGTTTTCAGAGCAGTTATTGCAAACAATTAGTAAAAGTAACGCAAATCGGATTTCTGTTTATTTGTAATTTTCACCTCATGACTGTCTATCTCTCCACAGAACATCGAGAACTTTATGAAAGATGTCTACAAGAACCGCTACAATGAGGATCTCAGTGAGGAAACCGTCAAGCTGCTATACTCTGTTGGGGTGTCCATCTTCGCCATCGGCGGCATGCTGGGCGGGTTCAGTGGGGGCCTCATCGCCAACAGATTCGGAAGGTGAGAGGAATAGGGTCTGTGGCTGGGTGCCGCTGGCGGCGTCTGAACGCCTACTATAACGCACGCATGGCACGGTGTTTTGCAGGAAGGGCGGGCTGCTGCTCAACAACGTCATGGGCGTGGGCGGCGCCTGCCTCATGGGCTTCGCCAAGATCGCCAACTCGTACGAGCTGCTCTTCCTCGGCCGCTTCATCATCGGCGTCAACTGTGGCCTCAACACCTCCCTTGTGCCCATGTACATCACAGAGATCGCGCCGCTCAACCTGCGCGGTGGCCTGGGCACGCTCAACCAGCTGGCGGTCACCATCGGGCTGCTGCTGTCGCAGGTGCTCGGCATCGAGCAGATCCTGGGCACCGACGACGGCTGGCCGCTGCTACTCGGCCTGGCTGTCTGTCCAGCCGTGTTGCAGCTCGTGCTGCTGCCCATGTGCCCAGAGTCGCCTCGCTACCTGCTCATGACCAAGCACTGGGAAGAGGAGGCACGCAAGGGTGAGTAGAGCAGCAGAGCAGCCCTTGTTGGTAGGACCCCTGCCGAGAAACAGGTCAGGTACATATTCGCATAACCTCCAAGCTTTAGCTTCTCTCAGTTAGCATTTACCCCAAAATCTCTCTATTTGACTCAAAATAAGTCGAGGTACGTTTTTATCACTATAAAGGCCGCCTTCGTCAGGCCGCCTGCAGCTGAGAGGCGACGCGGCAGCCCCTTCCCCACCTCCTCCGGCCTAAAGCCAATCACAATGAGAGACAGATGACAGACGCTTATATCTCTGCTGACTGTGCCATAGCGGAGCGGAGCAAGTGCATAGCACGGGCGGTTTGGTTCGGGGCACGTTGCTAATGGCAACGCCTGCCGCGTAGTGGTTAGGCAAACCCGTCAAACAGCTGAGTGGAGCCGGCGGCCCACTCCGTGCCCGGCGTGAGTCGGGCAAAGGACGTTTAGCGCACAGTGTCCTTTAATAACGATCCCTTTCATAACTTCTTTCTTACGTTGCTTTTGGGTGCATCTTTCGAGCTATCTGTATTTTCTTCACTCTTTATGAATGTTGCCCGCCTGCCCGTGTGTGTTACAGCGCTGCAGCGGCTCCGTGCGTCTTCGCAGGTGGAGGAGGACATTGAAGAGATGCGAGCGGAGGAACGCGCGCAGTCGGCGGAGGCTTCCATCTCAATGACGGAGCTTATCTGCTCGCCCACGCTGCGGCAGCCCTTGTTCATCGGAATCTTGATGCAGCTGTCGCAGCAGTTATCCGGGATCAACGCGGTTAGTTAGACTCGCAGCGCAGTGTCTTGGAGCGTACTGCACTGTTATAAATATGCTCTGGAACCTCAAGTGTGATACAGTCCAACAGTAGTTGGAAGTGCAATACGATGAGTATTGCAGTTAAAACTGTAGTACCATAACTGTATCACGTTTTCTCCTGTAGTACCACTACCACACATGTTTCACTCTTAAAAGTGCAGAGTGGTACTACACTCTTGCATGTGTGATACCTGTGCAGAACTACAGTTGGAAGTGTGATACACGTATGGTACTACAGTTTTTACTGTGATACATGTATGGTACTACCGTTTTTACTGTGAAACTTATGGTTTTGCACTTGTATTATTGTTGGACTGTATCACACTCGTGTTTCCAGAATGTTGTAATTTCAACTGTGTAATCCCAACATGAATTCATAGGGATTTCGCTATCCTCATTTGAAATAGTTGTAGACTAGTCGTTATACTCCAAAAGTTAATACATTTTTGGTAATGAAAAAAAGTTGCAATCCCCCGAAAGAAATACGAAGTTTTGGCAACTTTTTCACACAGAATTATTCTGTCAATTCAAATGCGCACATTAAATAAAGCGTACATCCCCGGTGTACTTTATTTAATGTGTACTTGGCATGCACTATCAGCGCAGAAGGAATTGAACACTTCCTCTTGGAATATGGGCGTCAGAGGGGTTCAATTCTTTCTGCGCTTTCTACGCTTTTATAAATGCGTAAATGCGGTATTTATACATTTCTAAAAGCGTACATGATCATGTATACATTAATTAAAGTATACATGCCATATACACCTTATTGAAATTATACAGTGTACATATTTGAATTGACAGAGTATTCGTGAAGTTCAGAATTTTCTTTGAACAAAGTGTTGTGCCTCAAGCACAACTTGCGTACATAATTCTGTGAAAACTTCCTTATAATTGCGCCTTCAACCCCCCCCCCCCCATAAAACCGCGCCTGTAGAGACGCGTCTTGCGGACTGTCTAAACATCTTTTAAAGCTAGCCTTCCTTGAAGTACGGTCTACGGTTTGCTGTTCTTACGTCTGACAGTTTTATTTGTCTTTCCAGGTGTTCTACTATTCAACTGAACTCTTCATCAGCTCTGGCCTTACCGGAGAGAGCGCCAAATTCGCTACCATCGGCATTGGGGTTATCATGTTCTTCATGACACTCGTGTCTATCCCGATGATGGACAAGACGGGCAGGCGGACGCTGCACCTGTATGGCCTCGGTGGCATGTTCATCTTCTCCATCTTCATCACCATTAGCTTCCTTATCAAAGTACGTGCCTGTGGCCATCGTGTGATACTAGGGTGTCCCACTTTTAAAATGTTTGTTTCATAAAATCAAGCGCGGAAATCGAATCTCTATCAAAAACCAAAGCTTAACTGTTTTTTGATTTTGTTTTGTATTTTGGGATTATCAGGAGAAACCTATTCGCATTCTTATTGTAGTTATGGATTCGTTGACTTGTGCTCTGCACATGCGCCAGAGAAAACCGGTAATTTTCACAGCCGGAAACTTCGCAGTAAAATTTTTGCTGTGAAATGCAGGAGTAGGGGCTACGTAAAATTTTCCCGTCAAAAATACGAACATTTTTCACTGTGCTTATAACTAAAATCCTCAGAAATTTTACAAAGCGAACTTTAGTGAACTTCGGCTGAACTTTTGCCGAAGTTCATAAACTTCGACTTCGGGTGTACGATTTTTAGAGCCTATTTCCCCTTGGGCTACGACACAACAGCGCCGGGGGGTTTGCATACCCTAGGGGCCTTGGCGTCTTACGGGATTGAGTTGGCAAAACCGCATAATGTAGTGTCGTGGCCCTAACACGCCCACAGTTGGTACAGTATGGACTAGTTAGATTAATTTAAAGGTAAGTATTTTAGATAGTCTCATCTCTTTCGTGCACGTATTTCGAAAGTTGAGAGAGCTTAGTGCGTCCCTTGTTCTGTTTTTATTTGCGTGTTTTGTAGAAGCATTGTAATTATAGAACAATCTGTATAGCAGATTCTATGAGTTGTTCTTCTGGTTTTATTTATTTATTTTGCTTCTTTTTACCTCCCTCCCTAAAACTGAATGCCTCCTTGGGACATGCAAACGGACTGTGCACCGAATCTTTTTTTCTTTCCGCTTTATTTCGTACGCATGTGGCCTCAATGTCGGTGCTCTGTCCGTCGGCAAGACTGGTCCGAGGGGGAAGGACTTTTTCTACTCCCCTGATAGGAATTCTTTGGTTATGTCCAAGAGATGATCGACTGGATGTCGTACCTGTCCGTCGTCTCAACTCTGGGCTTCGTCGTGTTCTTCGCGGTGGGGCCGGGCTCCATCCCCTGGATGATCACTGCCGAGCTCTTCTCTCAGGGACCACGCCCAGCCGCCATGTCTATAGCCGTGCTGGTCAACTGGATGGCCAACTTCCTCGTCGGCATCGTCTTTCCTACGATGAAGGTACGCTGGAAGGTCAAGTGCTACATAGTGATACGTGAATGGTTGAAACTGAAATCGAATCTGCTGTAATTCGATTAGATTCGGTGACGGATTCAATTAGATTTGATACCGAATGGTGTGAGATTGTGGAATCAACAATTGTTCGTCGCCGATTTCTGGCTGTTATAGATAGCATATTGTACCTGTTGGAACTTCGATTCTACTCTGAGTTAAACTCAACCGCCACATGCTAAAAAAAAGCTTTTTTGGCATTCACAAATTCACACTGTCAACAACGCAAAAATAATGTTCCGTCTTGGAGCGAAAAGGAAAAACTTTGAGGGACTCCATTGATTTGAGGAAAACTACTCAGATCTCGCCTAGATTTTGAGGAATCTTCTCAAATGAGGAAAAATCCCACATTTTTTAGGAGGGAGACTCTCGGAATATGGGGAGGTCTCTTGCTCAAACCAAGAGAGTCCATCAAAGTTACCCCTTTTCCCTGCAAGGGACAGACATCGTTTTTACCGTGAAATGATTGCAAACGAGCAATCTAATTAATGGTGCTTTAATTTTGATTACAGACTCACCTGGAAAACTACACGTTTTTGCCATTTAGCGTATTACTGGCGATATTCTGGATTTTTACGTACAGACAAGTTCCAGAGACCAAAAACAAAACATTTGAAGAAATATCTGCCATTTTCAGGCACGGAGGTGACAGGTAAGGAACAATCCTTTAATGCGTACGGAATCACTTTTCTTGCAGTTACAGAACACCAAAGCCGCTCTTATTTAATGTAATATTTTCTGGCGTATTTAACGATTCCACTTTGATTTATGCGGGAGAAATAGTTAAACAATGAGCTGGAATTGTCACAATTATTATTATTTTTTGTGTAGAGTTGGTATTTTGTTTTTCTGGGCCACCCTCCGGACAGGGCGCACATGGACTAGTGCCCGAGCATGCTCTTTGCCTTTTTCTATATTTGATGTATTTTCGGATAAAGTGGTGCCTGGGTAATACAGTACAGTATCAAGCTGGTCGCTTTTTCTCACAAGTTAGCTCTTGGATTGGGGTTTTCAAGTAAAAAAATTCCGATGACGAGTAAATAGACGCCTCGTGAGGGAACGCTTTTCAGTCGGAGGGTGCGCTGTTTGTTTTGTTGATGACTGCTAAAGAATTTCGCAGATAGCTCTTTTTTACTTGATTGAGAGTGTATGAGAGAGGAGAAGGGTAGTTGCGTGAGTGAGTGAATGACTTGGTGTACTTGCTTGTATACGTCCCTCACCACTACTTCTGCCACACGCTCCGGTAACTATCAAGTCACTGGTCTCCGATAAGTTGCCGCCTTTTTCTCGAGCGTTTGGTTGGTGAAGGTGCAATAACAGAATGCTTAAATGGTAACGTGATGGTAATAACTGACACATTTGCTTTCTGCTTTATTTTCATTTCGCGTCTTCTTCTTCTCCGGACTCACAGGAGAAGTATGCGGAACAGTAGTTTGTACGGGTGAGTAGTCGGCCGAGAGGACAGGTCTGACCTATGCCCCAAGCATGTCTCATTTTTATAAAAATACCCTTAACCTTTCTACACACACGCACCGAGAAAAATGTTTTCCTACAGCCAAAATTTTGTAAATATATGGATGCGATACCAGACAGCTAAAACTGTAGCTATATAGCGGAACACTTTGTTTAACAACTACGCTGTTAGACGTTACAGCTAACGTTTTCGCTGCATAACCCTGAAAACGAGTTGTCCATATTTAGCCAATATTAAGTTGTACAGATAAACAACGTTTCTCTCCGTGCGCGTAAGTTCACATCACCGCAGAAATGGCTCATAGGTCATAATTCAATATTGTTTCCTTTTGTGCTAGTATTCCCAAAACTCTAACCGTTTGATTAATTAGATTAAAAAATAACAAGAATTGTATCCACGTTTTACTTTAAAATATTTGATATTAACGTTTATCCTCAATCCATCTGCATCCCAACATAAACCCCGTAAAACCGGACCTTTGACTTTCCACAGCATGTATCCCTTTCTGTAGATTGTCTTTTCTTTCCCATAATTTATATTCTGTCTTCTGTGAAGTGTGTGCTTATGGTTTTACGCATATCTTTCTTGTGCACGTCTTTCAATTTCAGTGATTATATTGTGACAATTTTCTCCTTAATTTAGTACCTGTCAAGTGTTACTTTGCACTCTTTTGCAGAGCACGGAGGTGGTTTTGGTGATATATGTACGAATTGTGCTACTGTTTTAGTCTACATCAGTGTATTTTTACTCTGCGACAGGGGCCAATAACTTAGCGTATTTTCTTTACACAGTTAAAGTCTTACGAAGCGAAATGCCAAATGCTTCGTACCTACGAAGGATTTTCTCCCTACGAAGCGTCCAAATCCTTCGTATTACAAAGGATTTGGCATTTTTCTTCGTAAGACTTTAACAGTGTACGTTCTTTAAACCCACACAGTATTCCAAAAAGTAACGTACTTGGTTAAGGAATAATTTTAGTTGTCTTTCGGTCTATTGGGGCTTTTCTTTGCCCCATTAAATCAATCACGTAGGATATAGTAGAATCGAGGACGTATCCACTCTCCAAAATCGTGGTCCGACTACTCCCATTACCTCTATTACCTTTCTATTACCTCCATTACTTCTTTTACCTTTCTATTACCACTTTAACCTTTCTATTACCTCTATTACCTATCTGTTGCCTGTATTACACAACCATTACGCTCCTATTAGACGACTATTAGATGAGTAAAATATTGGCATCACGATTGAATTTTAACGCCAGAGTACTTATTGTGTGACCATTGCAGCACTGTCTCATAAAAATGAAAAATTGTTCCCGATCTAAGGATACCTGGTGCGGGGAGGGGTCAAAATTTAGACTCAGATTTGACCAAAACTGAAGTACACTAACACAAATTCTTAAATAACCATTCGCGGGAAAAGTGACACATTCTTGTGTTTAAAGTTAGATGCATCATCATATCGAACCATCATTCTGTCACTCTGAACTACCGCTGACCCGACTATAACCTGGGTGGATACCCCCTCGAGTATAATTATTCTTTAGGACACTCTAAATGTCTGAGGACAGTTTTTGTAATGCCGGGTTTACGACGGATTTTCTTATGTTATGTCAGATCTTATGTTGAAAGGGCTTCTGTTACGTAGTTTTTGAAAGGGGTGTTTACGGTTGTTCAGTCATGCATGCAAGGAAGCGTGCGTAGGATGTACCGAAAAGCATAACTATAGTTTTTTCGGATTAAAACTATTAAGAGGAATTTTAAAATTAATAGTTGCTCTGTTAATTATTTGAATGGCAGCTTCAGATTTAATTTGTTTGAATCCACCATTTACTTTATTTGGTTAGGTCTCCACGGCTTTGCGCGTGTAATGTGGAGGGCCTCACGACATAACATTGAGTCAATTTGAACATAACTCTGGTGTTGGTTTCGTAACCCCCCCCCCCCCCGTGAGCTTTGTATTTGAACACAGTTATGAACACAGAAGTCCGGCGCCAGTTACAAAAATTGTACTTGACATTTAGAGTGGACGACCAAAATGATAAAATACTTTTTTCTGTAACGTTACGTTTGTTACGTTACCGTTAGAGATTAGGCAACGTAACAATCAAAATTGTATTTTGAGTTACGGAAGAAACTACCGTAAACATTAGCGCTATCTTAATTCAACATAGTAAATTTTGTTAAGTTACGGGTCCCTGTTCTGCGTTAGGACTATTTTCGTTCATTTCCATTCTATTCGGTTTTGTTTTCACCCCTATATGACAGCCAAAATTCACTACTTCTTCTAATTTTTGGTAATGCCACACAGGTCTACTTTGGATGAAAGTCGGGCCAGTACTGACACAGCCCTCACTGACATCGGCGGAGATACTCCCCGCAGCAATCCCAGTAAATCTGGAATAAGAAATTTTTTGCTCAAACGCCCTCCAACGAATTAGTTCCGTCGTCTTTCCATGGGGGAGATTACATACTATTACGCCCTGTTTGGTCACGAGTAGACCAATTCTTATTTACTATGCAATGGACTTCCCCTCCTTTTTTCGTATAACTTAAATTGCAGTATTGTAATATTAGTGTAGAGCCAAACCCCCAGTACTTAATGTACTCGTTTCTTTCAATTTGTTATTTTTTTAAAAGTTTTATGTTGTATGTGTAATTATATGTGCCATGCAAACAAAGCCAGAGCAAGTGGTCGTTTTTCTGTCACTATATTAAAAGGACTCTCAACCTTTACTTCAATCAGATAACCAATTTTGTGTCGGATTAGTGAAACATCTTGCTCTGGTTTTGAATATGTTATGTTATGACTAGACCCATAAGCAAGTTTGGGTGCATTGTTTCCAGGAGCATGCTAAACTGTGTGAATGCGTTAGAACAACGGTTACCTGCCAGCGAGCGGGCGGCCCTCATGGTGGCGGAAGAAAAGCCCCTACCTGACTCATGTAAGCACCCTTCCTATCATGCTGGGCAGGGTTTGTGCCCTCGACTCACCGCGAGACACTGTAGGAAGCCAGGCGTCCACTTTCTTGTAAATATTGGCACCAGATAGCCCTCTCATCTGCTCACGCTCCGCTGAAGTCTGATTCAGTGTTAGAAATATGCCAAAAATAATAACTATTTTAAGGTGACAATGTTAACGTTATGAACCAAGGCCTCTGGAGTAAGCTGAAAGTTACAAGGTGGCGTGATGTCTAGCTCTACAGCCTCGTGACGTGCAGACCTGACTTTGCACGGAAAACACAAATTTCATTCTCATTCTGAGAGCTAATGCAAAGGCACAGAACACAAACACGCTCACACTCAACCGAACGTTCCCCATCAGCAGATTCGGGAATAACAGGAACGCTACTACCCTAATGTTGTTATTTTTTATACTTCTATGTGGGTTTGTTTTAGTGATGCCTTTAAAAATGGATCATGCTAAAGGGAAAGCCCATAACATTTCGATGCCTAAAAATGTTTATGCTTATAAATGTTCGCAACGGGACCAAGCCAGTTTAGCATTAGACGCTGCCAGTGGTCAGCTCTGCATTTAGTGCTTGTCATTCAAAATGCTCATTTCCAGTACACGGACATGTGCAGTCTGTGGAAGCGATAGAATTCACTCCAACTTAATTCACTCCAATTCAAAGCATCCGACAACCAATAATGTCTTAGCTAGAGGGCGTTGTGCGGAGTATTCCGTCGGTAGCTTATAGGGTGTCAAATACTCAGGTTATGATTAGATTGCTTGAATTGTGACTTGATCTCAAAAACGTAACCTAGATTATGCACCTCTAAACACTTTTGCTCTGGTTTTCCCGGGGCAAGCTGAATGGCACACTTCTTTTCCCTACACAATTGTCACGCTCAAGTGAATGAAATGAATTGCATGCATAGATATTGCGAACAGTAGTATTGTTTTTCTTTCCTTTCATTGCATTCTTCAGAGTACAATTAGTAATAACTTACACCATTTTATATTACAGTAAAACATTCTGAAATATTTTGTATCAATTTCTGATATTACTTAAGGTTTAAGCTGTAAAAACCGACTGATTTCGAATAATATTGTACGCATGGAATAAGAAAGGTGGTCTTCCTCTTAGAGCTTTCATTGTGTAGATCAATAATATACATGTTTTTGTTTTGTTACTTTTGTTTTTATTTATTTCCCTCGTTAAACCCTGCACGCCGTTTAGAAAATCTACTTTTGCCACTCCTTATTTCAGATTTTTTTTGTAGATCCCGTTGTAGTAGCTTACTCTGCTGTAAAGAATGTAGTTTTATCATACGCTGTTCTTGAGTAGCTGTTCGCTTCGTGTTTTCTTTTTTCTAATTCTACGGTAAGCCTACCTCATGCTCGCAGAGCATGGAAAGTTTGAGTCGTTGAGTGTGATAAATCAAAAGACTTTCACGGAGGCTACTTTTAATGGATAGCCAACACTACACTCAACGATTTAATATAATGCTTATGATTTTGTCTTATTCATAATACAATGCTGTTAAACGAAAATACGATGGCCAGAGAAATTCTAACAGGTTATTGGTCCCCTGCAGGGCACATGATGCAATAAAAAGGCGTTGGCCACAACGCGGCCACAAGCGTGCAACCGAGTGTGACAGGTACATTTTGTTCAATAGTACATCCATCCACGACACACTTATTTAGGGCACCGACCATCAAGGACCGCCGCACAATCCTCTGTACGCTGTGTGGTGTGTGGTTGATATAAACTCACTGCTTTCTGTCCCCAAATCACAAACGAAACAATCCCCTTTTCCGCTTATTTTTCATCTGTGTAAATACACTTACGTGAAGCTAACAGGTCATACACTCGGTCTAACGGTTGCGCATGCGTATACAGTACGAAAGTTATCTTGCGCAATGTGAACTTTGGGCGGTGAACAGCAGCGAAACCTTTATTAGAACCGATGAGAACGTTAGATTCACCGTCCGAAACTCTCCGCACAACTATGGACAGAAGTTGAGCGGAAAAGTTTCTTTTCGACCAGTGGTAGTGAAATGGCGTAGCTTTTCACATTATAGATCTCATTACAGTGTATAATAATTAGGTAGGGCTGAAATTACTCTGTAAATACAGCCATAATTTTGATTCTTCGTTGACTGTTACATCGTGTGAGAACCTCGACTGACTCGGCGCCTTGTGCGCTGGCAACCCAACTAGCACGACAGCGTACTGGGTTGTGGCGTTTTAGTTAAAAAGCTCTTCTGAAGAAAAGCGTTGTGTGAAGTCCATTTTATTAGTTTAGTTTAGATTTTAAAAAGACATAGATTTTGTTGTAAGTAAAATTCGGAAAAAAACATTTCTTCATAGCGATTCGTCTGTTATATCTTGCGCAGCAATTACACGTCGTCCCTAGCACAAGTGTGTTGTTTTCGGCGCCAGACAGCTTCACAAACTACACCTTTACTCCTTTCCTGCCATTGATTCACCTTCCACTCTATCCCTTTGTTTCACCAGCCACCCACTACTTCTCATGAACAAGTGCCACTTTTACCATCCTCCTTTCACCCGAAAGCACCTACAGTAAACACAATCACTCTGCCATCGATCTGGTTTAGGCGGACAGTAGCTCAGCGCACTCATCTTTCACCGTCCTCTGTACACTGATAAACTAATTGTGCAACTGCTTAATACTTGTGCAACTGCAAGTTAAAAACTTGCAAGTGTGCAACTTCTCAGTTGGGCACTTCCTTAGATTGAACGCTCACTGTGTATGAAGTGCTTAAATGAGGAGTTGCACATTTGCAAGTGCACACCTAGCGAGTTTATCACTTGCAAGAGTACAACTGCGGAGTTGCTCACTTACAACTGCGGAGTTGCACACTTACAAGTGTTAAGCAGTTGCACACTTACAAGTGTTAAGCAGTTGCACACTTACAAGTGTTAAGCAGTTGCACACTTACAAGTGTTAAGCAGTTGCCCGGATGTAAAGTTCGTCTTTAGATCCTTCCACCCGGGTGCACACTTGCAAGTAAGCAGTTGCACCCTTAGTTTATCAGTGTAATTAAGAAACGATTTGCGTAAATCTAAATAATTTTTCATAGCCCCTCATTTTTTTTCGAGTGTAATTACTACAGAGTTAAAGTACTATGGAACCTTATACTCTTTAGCAGTCAACCCTGCTTTTCTCTTGAACCAGGTCACATCATTGTACTATAAAATTCCTTCCCTGCAGCACCTCCGTCATTCTGCGACCTCAATGCTTTGAGTGAGTGAGAACTGTCCCAGAACTACGTAACACAGGTCAAACTTGAAGTTAGGGTGTACGAACAAAAAGCCCTGCCCATTTTTACCGTATTATTTCTGAGGATTAATTTTTATCTTTTAGCGTCGGACGTTGTTGTAGCAGTGTTACGTAGTTTGGGGATGGTCTTTGTGAAAAGCCCTACGAGACGATAACTGCCATCCTCCTTTTTTATGTGCATGTAGCGAGTAGTCCTTGCTATTGAGTGATGAGATTTCCTGTATGATTTTTGTATACTATGACATTCAGTGCGTATGGTGTTGCTAACTCTTATCACTTAGCTGAGCTGTAGTTACTTTTTCATTGAAGTTTTACTCACTCAAACCAGTCAGAGTGAGGGTTCACTGTACTCGTTTCGGATAATGAATCTCATCCATGCTCTCGATTGGCTTTTGAAAGCTTCGCGTACAAAATCTTTAAATACCATTGAAAGAGACAAAACCACGACAAAGTGGTCTCTTTAGTTCGCTTTGATTTCCGCACCGGCCGGTGGCCTCAGTACAGTGAGTCCCCAACGCTTGGCGCATCTCTTGCAGCGCTGTTTGATATCTTGCAGCGGGCCCCGGCCAGGCGGCCTGCTCCCCGAACAGGACGCGCGGTGGGCGGCCCTGCCCGCCCTGGTTCTCCGACCCCAGCCGTGTCTGACCCTGGCTTGGCTTCTGTTATGGAGCAGCCTTGCCGGCGCCTCCGAGTCGCTCCCCGAATCACCCGTGGGGCCGCGGCGCGTGTCCACGGCCTCGGACTGCGCCGCCGAGGTCCCCGCCACCTACGGGACTACCACCACTACCGTCACCGAGTCCGATGAGGCGGACGGCGTCGGAGCCATGGGAGCGATGGGCGTACCCGAGCTGACTCCGTCGACACCGCCGCCCTCGCCGTCCCAGTCTCCTAGCGCCTCCCCCATGACGTCCGCGCCGCCGTCACCGGCGCCCTCCGGGGAGCCCATGTCGCCGCCGTACCTCCCAGGCTCGTGTACGTGGCGGCCCCCGTCCAGCTGCGCGGGCGACCGCTGTGTGTCGCCGCCGCGCTTCGCCGTGTAGGCTGAGCTGGTGAAACTTTTCATACGCTTTATTCGTGAGCGGGTCCGGATGGACATGACGAGTAGGGGCCGCGGTGGGGGCGGTCGCCCCCCACCCCCTGCCACCCCTCTGGATCTCTTAGGACGCCGCCGCTCAAATCTTGTGATACTTCCTGGCTAGAGGAGGATTTATTTCCGAGGACTCAGATGCCAGTAGCAACCCAGGCTGCCATTCAACTTAACTAGTAGTACTTTTTCTAAGTTTGGTCGAATCATAACTGGCAGTTCCAGAGCTTCTCGTAGCCACGGACCCAGTAAGGGACAACAGTTGACCGTCTTTACGGATGGTTTGAAAGTGCCAAATAATACCAAGAGCGTGGTGGAGGAAGAAAAAGGTGCGACAAGACTTCCGTGCCGAGTGCTCGCGGAACACACCTCCAATCAAAATATTGTTATAGTGTTATGAAGATGGACCACAGGTGCACGTTGCTTTTCGAGCACCACGTCTATCATCTGTCTGCATCATTATGTATGATATTTCAATAGGGTATACATATTTGTCTGTAAAATGGTGGTTGTGATGAAAATTCTACCAGAGTTTGTCTTAATTGCTAAGTGAATTATTATAAATCATTACATACTATATTAATAATTTTTTTTAAACGTTAAATTTACATTTTGTGATATTATTCGATGCAGTGAGCAAAGTCGACAATTCCTCTGTTGTTTTTCTATTGCATGACAGCAAACTCTTGTACTTCGTCAAATGTTTATTGTAGACTGACTTGAATGATAACGTAACGGAAGCGTATCACAAAAGTGATTCCCTGTCTTGGCTAAAGTCTTTATCACAGTACTCCCCTTCAGCTTCATACTATGTCAAACTATTAACATGTTATTCGTCGATATAAACATTAGGTCAACATATTCTAAACACTCGCATGTACGATACATACATGAAAACTAGCCGTGTCATGAAGGTGTAGTGCCTGATTCACGTAGTATCACATCAAATTGCTCACCTACCCTGTTTTCTCATTCAGGAGCAAGATGTGCACATAGCTTTGCCTTGTCCGTCGAAACAATTTTTTGCGACGAAGCCCTAATCAGAGCTACAATTATAAGTGTATCCGAAAATGTATATCCTTGCTCCGTTCTATCATGCCAATTCTGTGAAGCCAAGTTTTCGATTTCATGTTTCCAACTTATAAAGCGCATTCCACTTTATAACTCCCAAAATCTTCTTTTTACGCACCATTTCAAATGCTACAATGATTATTGTGAAATGAACGGAGTTTTCATAATACCTATGTAAATGTAGGTGTATTGTTTGACTCGTGGCACAAATAGCTATGTAGTTTCAATAATATTCGTCGTGTAAATACATTGCAATTTATTCTTATTGCCAACACTGCCAGGACATACTGACTTGATTCGCAAATGTTCAAGGTAGGCTGCGGAGGGTCTAGATTGGATCAACTGGGTTAAAATTTATCCTCCCTTGAAAATGCCGTGGTCTCGTGTCCTTATCTTTAAATGGCTAAGAAAGTACAGGCGTCAAAATCAAAGCGTATTCGTATTAATAATACAAGATGCATATTCCATATTACTTGACATGCAAAGAAAAGACCTGCCTTCATGGATTGGCTACATTATTATTGTCCGCCGTGAGAGTCAGCTGCATACTGACTGCATTGCATATGTCCTAAATCCCAATCCTTTTACATAATTTTTACTATCATAGGAAAAGTCCCTGAAAAACTGACTTACTTATTTTTAGTTAAAGGCCTGCTTGAATTTCTGTATTGTTATTTAAGTTCTATTACTGAAAAAATATTGTTTTTAGGGGTCATTTTCTGTGTGTTTGCCACGGTGAATTTACAGGTGCCTTAATACTTCTATAATTTTAATGCTTGCGTGTTATTTTGGAGCCGTCAAATTATATTTACCCGCCATTTCGTTGACTGATGAAGATATTCGCTGAAGGACGACTGACGTATGGTAAAAAGCATGCACTTTGACTGCTGTTTATAAGTAAGTGTGTTTCGTTAACACTTTGTACCCCTTCATATCGAAGGATATAAAAAATTAAACAGCTCAAATCGAAGAGTGTCTCGCTTGGAGTGGAAATAAGCGCTGTCATAAACGAAAATTTCATCAAAAGTGTGAAAGGCTCAAGTAATGCTTTAGTGATAAATTATAAATTTGTAAGCAGTTGGAGTGATGACGAATGGTTAGTGAAAACGTAACGCGTGGACAGAAGGATGGAATGCCTCCGCAGTTACAGTTGGAGACCAATCTTAAATTTGAGAGTAAAATCTGCCGTCAGTTTGCATTTTATATTCCCTATATATTCCCTGAAATTACCGTCCCGCGGCCCTCACGATAGTTAACCCAGTCTTTTTTGACCTGAACAATAGCGTTGCGTCGGTCACTCACCTCAACAGTTTACTGTTTCGCAGTTTCCTCATCTTTTACTGATTTTATTTCTAAATTAAAATGATGGAACCAGAAAGTATTTTATCTGTTACAATACAATATTCTAAATAAATGGTAACATTCCTTGAAACCGTTGGGAAAGTCATCGTGAAATATGTAAGAAACTACTGTGTTCTTAAACTTTATTGTATGCTTGAAACGCACTGTCTCTTTTGACATGCGACAAGGAAACTATGTTATTCTTACTGTAAATATTGTTAAATAATTGAAATTGTATTTCTGACAATGTTCAATATGTTGTATTTGTCACGGTTTTTCTAAGCAGGAAAAAGAGCATCTGTGTAAGAATATAGTTGTTAATTCATTACCTAGTCATAGTTGAAACATGTAGATATCTTGAGAACAGGCAATGTTCTAAAGGCATCCCTATTTTGTTGTTTTGTTACTCTATCGTTTTATTTATCTATATTGTTTAACTTTTACGGCGTAAGCTGCTGTTCCCTTGTTCGGGCTCGGTCTAACGCATGAAAAAAACAAAATCCTACTAAGTATTCAACGGCCGGAACTAAAAATCATAGAGGCTTCAAATTTCTCTCATTGCTTTGGAATGTCTTCATTATTTTGCATTTTATAGACTGATCAAAAAATTTCGGCAAGTATCGTTTCCGGTTCACAATATTTTTTCTGTATACAGCTGTACCACTTACCCAATTTCATCGTTAATGCGCGAACATATGAAACCACGAAAAAGAGAACCTTACCAGCATCGCTGGCGGCAGCCAACGCTTGTACTGCAGTGGGTTGTGTCAATTTGGTTTATGACGAGGCGCAAAGGAGCGCTGACAAGTTTACCAATGCAATAAATTCTATCTCTATAAACTTTGTCTGCTTTTTTTCACTTATTTCCCTGGGAAAAGCGGGTAAAACAAAAGCGTGACTGCAGAGGGCGCCAGTCGAATGTTCGCTTCACGCGAATCGGTTCCACAATAGTTATCGCATACATCCTCAAACTGACTCACTATTGTACGCCCTGGGTTGACCTTTATAAGTGGCCGCCGTTGTGTGTTTTCATTCAGGCACCAATAAGTGACACAAGTGGACGTCGCGAAGCCTCGACACACGCCGCGCGCGCGCACCACAGAGGTGCGGACGAGCCTGCTGCCACGGACGCGCCACGTGCACGCCGGTCACGTGCAACACCGCGGGTATATTTTAGTCAAACGCAGTGTTTGCGATTTCGGGTGCGGACACTACTTCAGACGCAGACTGCCGCGCGTGGGGCATATCGCCGACCATCGCGGGTGGTGGGCCGGGAGCCGGTCTAGTCGGGGGGCGGTGGCGTTGGCAGTCTAGCCGTGATTCACACAGCCGGGAGGTCAGCCGCCTGACGAGCCTCGGGTAGGCAACCCCACCCCACACAGGTGCGCGACGGGACGGCTCGCCTCCCGGGCGGCATGGTGGCGCCAGGGTGGCGCGCACGGGTGCCCGGGTTCTTGACCCTTGCCCTACCCATGACACGGCGGACATGATCGTGTACTGCGTGTGGTGGAAGGTTGGCGAGTAGTGTGTGGCCCCGTGTGCCGTTGGCGCCGGGTGCGTCTGACTGCGAGTGAGCGGGTCCTGGTACTTTTTGGCTGACGGGCCCATGCGCGGCCTGAGGACGCTTTATGTAACGCCCGGGCCAGCTCGGGCCCCCGCCCCGCCACGCCCCGCCCCGCCCGCACGTACCGCCCGGGCCGCCTGATACTACGAAGCAGACGTCGTCGTCGCGTACATTTACGTAATAGTCGAATTGTCCCGCCGCACTCTGGCTGGCCTGGCGACCCATGGTTATTTCATGGACCGAAACTGCAGCTGCCCGTGACAATATGTATGTGGGAAGATGTGTTTTTGTTCTTCTTTATTTTTTTTCTTTGTTTTTTTGGCCATAGCTCTTTGCCGACAGAGTATCGCCGGGGCTCGTGTGTTTGACGTAAGTCCCGCGGGCGGCACGTGGCTGCTAAATGACTGTGCCTGTTTCTCTCCGGTTTCGCTCACTCGCGCCCGGCGACCATCCCCCTCGCCCTCTCTCTCTCTCTCCCTCCCGCGGTCATTTCCATCGCTCGGTTCAACAAACGACCGCGCTGACCGCGGCTCACCGCTGGGCGGCTGGGCGGGTGCCACGGCGATGTCGCGGCGGCGGTGCTGTGCGCTGTGCTTGCGTTGCGCGCGATACTCCCGAGGTCCAGGTCCGGACTGCGGCGCGGAGTAGCGCTGGCGCCAGGGCCTGGACTCCAGCCGCCGCCGCCCTTCCAGCCAGCGCCCGCTGGAGCCTCGGCTGCTGGAGCCGCGCCGGCGATACCCCGCGCGCCGGGCCGGTGGACTTCCCCCCGGGGCGCGCCGCCGTGGAGCCCGCGCCTCGCGCCTCGCGCCTCGCGCTCGAACTTTGCTTTGCGGTTTCTGTAATGAGCCCGGGCCTCACCTGATAGCGATAGCCACCCTTACGTAACTGATGTCCCCGTCGTCACCCGGGGCGGCAGCAACGCGGGCCTAAGGCGGGCCCGCCGCGCCCGCACCTCGTCAAGTGCGGCCCCACAGGACTTAGTGGCGCGCGCTTGCGTAACGGCACAAACACACACAGCCCTGCGCATTTCGATCGATTGATTTACGCCGTTTTGAGGCGCCACGTGGCCGGTGGCGGTGGCGCCCCGGCCGCGGCCGCCGCTGCTGCACGAGCGGCCCGCCAAAGAGCCCCCTCCCTCCCCCGCACCGCGTTACATAAGCAGTGTGCACGCCCGCGCCTCCTTAAAAAGATTGTTCGGGTATTTTCTGTGTCGTCGTGGAGGCTTTGTAGGCGCGGCTCGCGACGGCGATGGTGTTTACCGGCCCGCGGGCACCCAGCCGTGCGGCGCCTCCGCGAATAGCCGTGCAACGCACCCGCCGCCCTCGCAGAAGAAGAAGAGACGGGGGACGAGTCGCGGGGCCGCCGAGAATAGCTGATTACAGCCGGCCTCCGGCCTATCTCCGGCCGGCCGGGGGAGGCGCAGGGCTGCGGGGCGCGGCGCAGGGGGTAGTTTAGGGCGGGCTGCGCGAGGTGACGTGTTCGCCGGTATAACACGACGATTAGGTCACCGGCCGCGCTGCCGTCCCCGCGCCGCCCAGCCCAGCCAGGCCGTCCCTTACGACGCCATACCACTGGGGCCAGGGCCCGGGCCAGGGCCCGACCGAGCTGTAACTGCGGGGGTTGTGCTCTTTACGTCAGAGGCCGTTACCGCTGCGGTGGGGGCCCGATCGGGCCGGTGCGCCGTTGTCCTGCAGGACAAGGACAACCCTCTGGACGCATTGTGGTCGGCGTGTTATTGTGGACGGGGTGAGGACGATAGCTGGCCGCCGCGCTGCGCCTCAACGCCCTGCGGCCGCCGATGTAATGTCATGTATACTGGGGACTGTCGCCGCGCCGCGTCCCGCGCCCCATGCCGCCAAGTGTAGAACGCGCGTGCATGAACCTCCGGCAACCACCCAAGTCTCCCGACGTAGACCGTACGGCCCTCACAAAAAACGGAATTCCGATAGCGTATCGCAGAGTAGACAGAACACGTGTGTCAAACGTTTCCGAAATAAAGACCAATCATGTTTTGCCCTCTTAATATTTGGTGGGTGTCATGGTTGTGTTTTTGTTGGGTCACGTTCATGTCTCGCCACACGTCGAAGATATCGGGGACGCCGTTCCTTACCCGTAAAAAGAGCCCTATCAGCAGGCAGTGTGAGCAGCAGTCTGAGCGGGACGGTGACATGTCGCTGCAGAGTCGCCCGCACACCACCTGCTGTACTGCCGTTGACTTTGGGACCGGGATTCACAGTAAAAAAAAAATGTCCGACTTTTTGAGGGAAAATTCCAAACTATGAGAATCTCGCCTTGGTTTGAGGAAAACTGCTCAGATTTCGAGGAAGTCTCCTTTAAAAATTGTGTTTCTTTTCTCAATGTTGTTATTCATCAAAATCTGAGGGAAGATCTGAGGAGTTTTCTTCAAACATGGGAGTTCGCCTTCAAGTTTTCCCCTTTTCCTCAGAATAAAAACACATTGTTTTTACCGCCCCCGAAACGAGAGGGGGGGGGGGCGAATCGGCAGATCGTATTGACATCCGACCCCTGGTGGCAGTGTCGATGTAATGGTCACGTGAGCAGCGCATTGGCGGGCGTAAGGGAGGGTGAGCCGTCAACTCGTCACACTTGAAGTCTACGTGGTCGGCAGAATGGAATCAAAACTATGTTGCGCAAGAACAGTAGTCTCCCGTCTCCCTCCTATTCTCCTCAATCGCCACAAAGGGTTACGGAGGGTGCAGCACCCAGTGGAGAAACGGTAACGTGGATTCAACGTCGAATCGACGTCGAAATATCGAAAAGATGTGGATTTGGGGGACATATTGACGTTTATTCGACTGTTTCGACGTCGAATTGCCTTTGAAGAAATCTCAATTTTCACTGGGGCAGTAGGGAGATAGAGGGAAGCAGGTAGAGCGGGACCCTAGCTGAATACTGGCCTGTAGACTACCCATTATAAAATTAAGATATTAAGATTCAAACATTTATTTGACTTGGTTACGGTAAGCTTAGTCGTAAATTTACGTAAACGTGAAAAATGGTCATTGCTATTTTTCCAAGTTGTGAGATTGCGTGTTCGAAAAGTCAGAAAAATCTACACTTGTCACTCGATCTACAGTGCTATTGTGTGTGTGTTGTCCACAACTGTCTGTCACGCGCGGGGCTGTATCGCAACTTACCTCGTTATGTAAATGAATTTGAGGTCGCTCCGTTGCGCTCCGCAGTGCCCCACTTGGTGCAGCGCGGGGCCGATCTGCGCCGTAACCTACGCCTGCGTCTCTCTCTCTCTCTCTCTCTCTCTCTCTCTCTCTCTCTCTTTCTTTCTCTTTCTCTCTTTTTCTCTCTCTCTTTCTCTCTCTCTCTCTCTATTTCTCCCTCTCTCTGTGTCTCTATCACTCTCTCTCCTATCCCTCTCTCTCTCTTCTCCCTCCACTCTCCTCCAACATCATCCAGGAAGATCGAGAGCGAGAAAAAATCAGTAAGTGGTTAGCGGATGACAAAGTACTGCTGGGTGTTTTGGGTTTTAGCCCCCTTCCTTCACGTGGCCTAGCGTATCACCTCCCGTCGCTGTGCCGCTGAACCGCCCTCATGCAGTCGCACCGATAAAGGTGACAGACCCGGAGATTATCACCTTTACATAACAGCGGGCCATTGTATGCGAATGGCAAAACATCCAACACCCAAGGCTGGCCTGGCGCGGCCCGACAGCGCCACAGCCTCGTCGACGCCGTCTACGAGTCCACGGAGACAGAGATGTAAGGCAAGTAGCTTCGAGTGCACCAGCGCACGACACAATGTCGGGTCGGGCTGAGTTTCATTTTGCTGAAATAGGGCACGCTGTAAAAACTCGTTCTAGGTCCATGGTGTGCAGCTGCTATACACCAATTGACGTTTAACCTAGTCAAACACCACAATGTGTTGAGAAAATGCACACTTGAACTTAAACACCAATTGGCGTGCAACATTAAACACTTGTTTTACCAGTGTGTGACGTCACATTCTATATAATGTGAATTGTGTCTGAATATTCAGATTGTATGGTCTGAAATTAAAGAAATTTAGTATAAATTTGAAGGAATTTAGTCTGAGTTTCTGGTTGAGACAATTAAGTATGAATTTTCAGACTTCGGTTTTAAAATTACGACTAATTGGTATAAAAACTCGTTTCAGACCTGCCTAGTCTAAAAAAATCAGGCTGAATTTTCAAGTTTTTAACAGTTTTTTATGGATGGAATCCAGCAGAAAATTGTCAATTCCTACCCCAGTAAATTTGCGAAAGGGTACACGATTTTAAACA